AAAAAACGAAAATAGAAAAATATACAAAAAATACATACACACACATACATGCATATACACACATACATCCATCCACATCCAGTCCTTCATATATATACACATTTACCCACATACGGACATACGCATACGTGCACATAAACATATATACCTAAAACCTTACATTTCTATACAATTAAATACCTCTCCTAAAATTCTCTCTGTTAAGGTTTAATCTCCCTCCTCCTCATACTTACACTCTCTCTAAATTCTGTTTTTATTTCCGGAGTTGTTTTTTGTTTTCTTTTTGAATTTGTAGGTCTGATGAATTTGATCAGTTATTCACGATTCCAATGGAATAAATTATGACCATGGAATATTAGTCTTTAAGCCTCTACCTGGATTCTTCCTCTTGGAATTTTTATTCTAAAAATATACATGTATGGGTATTTATATATTTTGCATATGTATGTATATTTTCCACTAATATTATATATATATATATATATATATATATATATATATATATATATTATATGTTAGTGGCGATTCTGGATGCTTGTCAGGCTAAGTTCAAGTGAGTCAACATTCAAGTACATCTATTTCAAAGCAACAAAAATCTTTCATAAGGTGTCATTTTTATTCTTGACTTCAGCTGGATCCCAAATAGTTTTAACTCTGTCTCTCAAAATACTGACCAAAATATATTTTGTTGACATAGTTCATGAAGAAGAATGAAATAGGAAAGAAAAAACACAGCAAGAAAGTAAGTAAAAAAAAAAAAAAAATGAATTAAATAAAATTAACACAGCTACTTGGACTGTGTAGATCTGAGCCCTATCATCCTGGAGACATACTTGATAAGCAATATATTTCTTTGTTTAATTTTATAAATAATCTTTTTAATGACTTGTATGCCCTTTTTTTCAAAGAACACATTTTTATTTCAATTTATTGTTTTCAAATGTCTAGTTTAAATCATTTATTCTGTACAATATAAGGCTTTTTATCAGAATGTATATTTTGAGAAAGGCAAATTAAATTTAATCTGACTTAAATTTGGCAAAAATCAAATTAAGTGGCAGTCTTAACTTGTTAACTGGAGGGTCGGGGATGAGGAGTGTGACTGGGGTAGCATTGAGGAAATATGATATCAGTCATCAGTACTGATCATAAACATACAATAAATTAAACTAATAATTCACAGACAGAGAGATACATAAACACACTAACACAGACATATATACAAATACACACTCTACCATCAGTGACTTGATAACCAGGCTATACAACAATAAAAAATAGAAAGGGGACATTAAACAGACAAACATATCAATGACTTTGTCCTCACTCTTTTTTCTTACGTCTGGAAGAAATTTTTCAAATAAATGTTTATTTTGATAGAATTATTACAATATTAAAATACCAAAATGTGTTTTTTAATTTCATGCACAGATATTTTTTAAAAATTCTATATTTTAGTCAGAGTAAAAGAATCATTTTAGCATCTTAGATATACTAATGTCATATTTTTGTTGAAGATTGTATAATGTGCCTGACAAACATTGATCACCTAAAGTCGACACTGATTATATATATATATATATATATATATATATATATATATATATATATATATAGGCATCAAGTATCCCTCAAACAACTTATTAATCATTATAAAGAACTGATAATTCTAGCATAAATTTGCATGGCCTTGGTGTTTATATTCAGAAAAACAGTGCAATGGAATTATCTCTTGAATCCCAAGATGATTCTTTCATGTACTTTCAATTTTTGTCATTGCATTTTGTTAACAATCACTTTCCCTTTATGACTTTCCTTCTTCTCAGGACATTATTATATTGAACAAATTTTATGATAATACATAAATGGCTCTTTTCTACATCCATCTGCTATTATTTTTGTGTTTGATGATTTTAATGCTCAACACATCAAGTGGCTTAGGCATTCTGATGTTACCTGCATTAAGACTTTCAATTTTTCCATTGCTCTCAGTCAAATAATGGATTTCCCTACTCATTTCCCTAATAAATCTGTTCAACATTCTTCTTTACTTAATTTACTCCTTAGCCCCTCTCCTAGCTCTTGTAGAGTATCACAACTATGTTCTCTTGGCAATTTGGCTCACACTATAGTATCTATTGATATTTATTTTGAGTTGTCTATTAGTAAGGAACCTCATATTCACAAGACTTCTTTCTGTTACCAGGATACTGATTGGGATTCATTTTGTGACTTTATTTGAGATGTCCCTTGAATTGGTATTATTAACCTTCCAATTAAGAATTGTGCCACAGAAGTTTGTTCTTCGGTTAAAGTCAGTATTGTTGCTTTTGTAGCTTCTCACAAATATCAAGTGAAACCACAATCTCCTCCTTAGTTCACATCAGCCTGTTCAGCCGCTATAGCCCACGGGAATCACTTTCCGGTTGTACCAGCGTAATAATTCCGATAACAACAGATGCCTATCTGTTACTGCTCGAAATAATTGTAAACGTGTCCTCAAAGAGACTAACTCTTCGTTTGCTAATAGAATGAGGCACCTTATAGCCTCTAACAAGTTTGGTTCATGGTACTACTAGCAACTCTGTAACAGTGTGTTAAATAAGTGTAAGTCTTCTATCTCACCTTACTTCACTCAATTTGAAGGTGTTAATATCTGTTGATAAATCAGAATGTTTTGCTTGTAAATTCTTTCTCAATTCTACTCTTGATTCATCTGGAATACATTTTCCCAACTTTCAACTTAGAAATGAATCTCTATTGGGTGATATGCTATATAACTCTGTCCATGGTTTCTGCTATCATTTCTAATCTGGATCCTCAGAAAGTATTTTGACTTGATGGTCCTGAACTGGTTCCTGTTCTCTCTAAAATCTACAATAAATGTCTTGCTCCTTTCTTGCTGGAAATCCTCTTCTAGAATTCCAGTCTTTAAAAACTCAGGTACTAGAGGTTCTAATTAACTTTGAATTGGTTAAGCATCTCACATCACAAGTCTTCTTTCAGATAAGCAATATGGCTTTCACTTCTCTAAGTCAACTGCTGATGTGCTAATGATTATTGCTGAAAGAATCTATCAAACTTTAGATAAGAATGTTGCTTTGGAAATATCAAAGGCATGTGACGGGGTTTGGCATACTGGTCTTCTTCACAAGTTAAAGGTTATGGAATTTCTGGATGAAGTTTTAAACAAATTCAGTCTTTCTTGTGAAATGAAAGATGTCTTGAAATGGCCACTCTTCTAGATCTTTTTACATTGTAACCATAAGTTCTATGCTAATAGTTTCTTCTATCGCACTTCTTGCTTGTGGAACTCTCTCCTGGCTCCTTGTTTCCCAGTCAACTTTCATCTTCAGAAATTTATTATTTGTTCTCGTTAACATCAGAAAAAATTCAAGATTATAAATGCATGTATTTTGTATACAAGTCTCCAGCCTCCCAAACATTCATAATAAAAATAATATCTATTTGTTATACGTCAACAGAAATCAATTTTGCAATTTTAAACTCAGCTACAAATATTTATACCCAAAAATATGATTTCACATAAATGTTCAAACTGTTTTTGGCAAACATGGATTTATATTGCCGCAATAAGACAGTGTCAAAATGATGTTTCTTTTCGGTTTTCCCCCCCCATGACACCACCTTTTTAAATACCTTCACTCTTCAGCAATGACAACTGGAATAAAACTTAAATATATGAAACTGAATACATACATTTTCTTTGTTCTTGAGAATTTACAACAAAAATAATAAACACTATTATATTATTTATTGGAATGGTTGGCAAAACATCGGCTGATTTCCAGTTGATTCCAACTTTATAAAATGGTAAATAATAAGTATTTCTTTATAGTTGTCTTAAATTTAGTAAATGTTTAAAAATATATGTATAAAAATTCTTTTCACATTTATTTCTTTACTAGCTCAAAAGCCACCCTATCGAGCAACATTTAAGCTAGCTCCTGCAGAGGACTCTTGATTGGGCCTTCATCACAATAGGTAGGGAGATTGCATTAATATTTAAGCTTACCTTTTAAAAGTCCAATGATAATTCTTCTGATGCCACTTAATTTAAAAATAATTTGATGTACAGAGGTTCTTACTTTCACTTTCACAATTAATTTCTATCATTCCCAAGTTATAAAAATTGTTATATAAAAAAAAAAAATTGCCCAAAACAATTCCAATAATGAAAACTTAGGAATCCAAAATTTCAGGATTGCAGGTCTGGATTCAACCCAGAATGTTTTTAATTAGCTCACAGAATTGACCTGATTCCAAAATAGCATGATATGTTGGGCTACAGCCTCTAAGAGTAAAGTTGAAAATGTGACACACTGACATTCACATTTAGTATATAGATAAATGATAAATATCACATTGAATTAGTTCTAATTGTTTAGTTTTTTAGGACTAATTGTATTAGTCTTTTGAACAATCTAATAAATAATGTTTAATATTTTTGTTGTAAATTTTCAAGAACAAAAAAATGTATAAATGTATAAATCATATGTTTAGGTTTTATTCCAATTCTGATTATTGCTTTTTAAAGCTATAAAAGCATAGCCAAAGAGTGAAGGTAAGTAAAAGAGTGGTGCCATGGGAAAAAAAACATGCCATTGACACTATGTCTTATTGCCAGCAGGTTTATCCATATTCGCACTGATATTTTTTCATTTTACTTGTAAAAAAAAAAAAAAAAACCTTGTTTTTTAAGGCATGAATATATTCAGCAAAAGGTAAATTATATTTGACTTCGTATTAGTTTTGTAAAGATTTGTATCAAAACACCACAGAATATCAAATTTGGAAATGTGTGTTGATTTGTTTTTAACCAGCTCCATATTGTGAATAAATGATTACAAATCAAGAAGCACTGAAAGAAAAATAGTAGAAACAAAGTAAAGGCTAGTAGAAATATTTTGATCAATCAACAAATTAAAAAAACAAAAAAGAATAGAAAGAAAATAATGGTACACAAGTTTTATGCTTACTATCAGGTGAACAAAATTCAGTGAAACTTTCCCTGATCAAAGCCCGTAATTCTTTATCTAATTTGGGATTATCAAAGACAGGAGACAAGGACCTGCAAATAAAAACAACAAGTCATGATTAGAAACAGAAAATGTAACACATGAAAGCCTTCATTTCTAAACATTTCTAATCTAAAGTCTTGTATAAAGTCAAAATACATTGTTCAAAATTTTCTATATGTATAAAAAGATCCTCAGTAGTGAAGAGATCATTTATAGATATAGACAGTGTATATATAAATTACACACACAAACAGAAAATAAAATTCCAACATCCAGAAGTACAATACAGGTTTTGACCTGAGTACAGTATGTGCCTTCTCACAGCTAGTCTTCTCATCAAATTTTTTTAAATCTTCATCCTCCTTGTAACAAAGTAATGCTGACATAAGTGCACTGTCATAAGCTTCTATGTGATGAAAGAACCCACTGCAACCAGGTGTCAGGTTACATTGATACACAGGTCTCTTTTGTTCAATAAGATTCATTAGAAAGAGAGATCAGAAAGTGGGTCTTTTTAGGGTCATTTCAGAGAACTCCTGTGCATTTTTACTATTGGGTTGGTGCATAATTATCAGGCATTTTTGTAGGCAAGTTATTTGTTAATAAAATTGCTGTTTTGTTTACTTTTTTTAATAAAAATATTTTATTTTCAGGTTATAAAAATGAAGTAGATGGTGACTACACTCTGGAATAATCATTTAAAAATGTTATTGTTGAATTGTTATGTTTCTTTTTTCATAATAAATATTGTTTAAAAACGGATGCACCAACCCAATATTTCTTTAATACCATTCCAAATTTTAAAGTTATCTTTATTTCCACTTAAATAATTGTCATAAAATGATTTTTCTGTTCTGTCAAATTGTAGAGCTGCATTTTTTGCCATATGATAATTTTTTAATTGAATCCTTACAGTTTTTAGTTCTCTTTGCCAAATCGTCATCTTTTTAAATAAGGACTCATTTGTGACTCATGGTTGAAATCTTTATTTAAATTCTAGTCAGTTTATAGAATACTTGTCTTTTAGTTTTTCTAAATTGTCATAAAACACATTGAAAAAGAACTTAGTCTTTTTCCTTGAGTTCCAGTCAATGCTTTTAACATCCATTAAAACTAGTCTTTGGATACTTTATTGAATTTTGACCAGAATCAGTTTTTTTTATAAGTTATACGTCTTTGGCAAGTAAACTGGATCTGTATAAGGAATGCACAAAAATGATGGCAAACAAACTAAGGTTGCCACTAATTAAGCCAGGCCTGATCCAATTGAACATGTACAAGACAACATCAGATTTATTCACTATCCATCTACAACTCTTTCTGTATTATGCCAACAAGTGTAACATTCTTAGAATGTTATATCAGGATGGTATATACCATCTTTATCATCTCATGCATTTTACAGTACAGGCCTATATTACTATATTAATGCCTAAGAAGCATATGCAACATATCAATATTGGGTCTGCTTACTGTTAATACATCTCTTATTGTGAAATCTGCATACATATTGATCCATATGCAAGACCATACTGCCATCCAGCTATATGAACTGTACATTTCATCTCTAGTCAACTGAAACACATTCAAGATGTTGCAATTTTATTTTACATCAAAGTGTGACAGTTTAAAATTAACAAAAATACAATAGTAGCCATGAAGCCAGTTTCTCACTCATTCTTCAAAACATAATTGTAATATTTTCAGTTAGTTAATTAAGTATTTAATTATAATGGCAATGTAATATTATTACAGACAAATGAAAACATTATTTTGAAAAAGAAAAATTGTTTAAACTGATTATTAATAACATTTATCAAATTGATGAAAGGATTTTCCAGCTTTGTAAAGAAAATTTAAATAATGCAGACTGATATCCATTTTATGGAGTTTGAGTTTTTCCAGACTAGACTTTTTCGAATCTTTTAAGAAAGCTTCAAGTGATATTCAAAAGTTTACTAACAAAGACAAAAAAACTCTTTACTGACAAAACTCAAACAGATACTTTTTTCTTCTTTTAGTTAGGAAAGGCAGGAAGACAAAACAAGATGAAAAAATAGATTAGTAATGAAAAATTTTAAAGATAATAATAATAATAAAAAACAAATGATACTTAATAAAGATAACTTACTGAAGTACTCGTTTCTCAAGTATGCATCGAAGGGATGTGTATATTCCCTGCCGTACCTGGGTTGACAGGAATGGACAAAAATTTGGCATAATCTAGAAGCAAATAAATAAGAAATTTTTGATTAAATAATGAAAATTAAAAGAAAATGACTTTACAAAAAAAAAAAATCAAACAAAGAAAAGAAAATCATTTCAAGTAAGTAAAAATGAAACAATTGAGCTTTATATCAAAAGAAAGGAGTACAAAAACAATACCGGGGTCTAAATGCAGAAAATCAGGTGCAGGTAGGGGTCATTTTGAAAAAGAAAAAGGAAAAAAATTGGAGAACATTTAAAATTTTCTGCATTCTGCAGACCCCAGTATTATTTTTGTACTCTTTTGTATAATTTTATTTTTGAGTTATGAATCAGTATTCTTCATGAACATCTGTATATTTTTTTTTTTTTTTTAAAACCCTAAGGCATATCTTGTGCCAACAAAACCTAAGTCACACACCAAACACAGGTATATTTATTAATATATATTTCTTAGCACTGCCTAATCACATCAAGCACTATTATGTTTACACCTCAGAGTAAAATTTGGTAATTATTTATTTGCTTACCTGTGTATGCACGCCAGCATACACATGCATATACTGTTGCTAATATCGAGTTATTTGATTTAACTATATATATATATATATATATATATATATATATATATATATATATATATATATATATATATATATATGAGAGAGATATCTCCCCAAACAAATTTGATTACAATAAACTATGAACTGAGAAGATCTGTTTAATTTTTTTTTTTTTAATTAAACAGATGCAAACTTGCTGCTTAAATACACTTTATTCACATCACACATGTATATTAAAATACTAAGAGTTAGGTAAATGTAATATTGTGTACAGGTAGTAATTAAACAGTGCTCGATGTAAAATAAAGCCAAAATTTATATTAAGAAGAATTATATAACCGTTCTGCACCACTTAATGCTACTTAAAGTTTCATGCCCATGCAAATTGTATCCTGAGTTTAAGCTTGATGAGCGCCATGTTCACGTGAGAAACAGCTATATAATTCTTTTTGATATATACATAGATATATAATTTTTTTTTTCAATATCAAAAGATAGAGCTAATAAAAAGTTCAATATAGGTTGATGTTATTAAAAACACCTTAAAAATGTAAAAAGTATCCTGGTCACTATTAACTTTTGGGCAGATATGTATTCATAATTTCCTCATATATTGTGTATAGAACATATGTGATGATGGTTTATCAAAATAGCATCCATCTTTTCTAATGAATTTTTTTTTTAAATTTTGGATCATTTATTATAATTCTTTAACAAAATTAATATTCATCTCAGTAGGATTTTAACAATCTTTACATTTTTACATTGTTATTAAAAAGTACCCGTGTATAATCAACTTTTATAAAATGTAAAAGTTTTTGTTTTGTTTTTTTTAAACAGAAACTGATTCAATTTAGATTGCAAATGTAAAATTAAATTTTGTAATGTGTGTTAAAATAGAAAATAGATTACCCTGCACATGAAATCTAAGAGTGTAGCAGTGATGGCTGGATGTGGCCGCATGGAATGGTACATTACTAAGATAGCAGGCTCTGCAAAAATAAAAACAGATATTAGTACTCAAGAAATTTATTCATTCAAATTTTCAATTATGACAAAAAAAAATAAAAAAATAAAAACAGGATAATGCTGTCAATGTCATACTTAAATTCCCCGCTACATACACACTTTCACAAACTTATTCATGAGATGCTTGCTAAGAAAGGAACAAATTATCAATAAAGTTAAAAATTTCAATTTAGGGGAAAATAAAGAATGCTTATATTAGAGCAATCCTAGTAGTAATGTTTACTCAAAATGGCTTCACTATCTATCCAAGAGTGTGGCTCTGAACCAAAGACTTTGCTTAGTCCAATAAATACCTACTCAAAAAAAATTAAATTTCAGTTAAAGTGATCATTTTTGTTTATACTTTTTGATTCCAATCTAATAGAGAATGACTGCAAAAACATTTCTTGCCCCAAATTTATAGACAAATCATACAGATGCATGCTGGGATTTCTTCCAAGCCAAGAAAGGAGGTCACTTCTCAGTCACATCTGCCATATTTCTGTTCTTTCTTGAAGCCAGAACACTGATCACTTGTCTGCATCCCTTATGTGAGTTAACAACACTCTTACTTTGTATATTTTTTTTTACCTTATTACTATTGCTTTGCCTACTTTTGTTTTTCATATATATATTGTTTTTTCAGCATTGTTTTTGCCCTGTTCTTTTCATTATTTTGTTATTGTTTATTACAAACTTTGTCAATTCAGTTTGTTCGGCATTTCTGCCAATTACATTTAACCTATGGCCAATTACTCTACATTACAGAAGAGGTCATTTATTATACCCAGATAATGTTATCAAATGATTATTATCAAATTTAGTTGACTTCCAAACATTTCTTTTTCTAAAGATTAACTTAAAATAATACTCAAAGCTCCATTTTCTCTCCTTATAATGTAAAATTGTTTATCGCAATCTATTTAAATTGTTCCAATTATTATGTCCTTTGCATATCAACTCATTATATAAAAGACCCTATCTCAAGGTAATTGAAATAAGCTGTGTGTAGGTATATTATTTATATATCACTTTTGTTACATACAAGAATGTTCTATCTCACACTGAGTGCTGGTGCTAATAAAATAGTACTTGATGTATAATAATAGAACTATAATTTATATTAATACAGTGTAACCCGGATATAAGAGAGTTGTCATGACCGGAGAAGAAGTCTCTTATATCCGGGTTTGGTCTATTTTATATACATTAACACAGGCTCTAATTTGGGACCAGAGAAAATCTCTCTTATATCCGGGTTTCTCTTATATCCGGGTTACACTGTAATAAATATACATTTTTTATTCTTCACTGGTAGTACAACTCTGTTTCAATCATCAGGTGCTGATTGTAAAAAAAAAAAAAAAGGGAATTTTTAATCAGCACTTGACTGCATTGTTCATGAAACTCACTCTTATGCTACATAAAGTAAGTGTGTGTGTGTGTGTGTATAAAAAAAAATTGCTGGCCACTTGTATTCGAGGATACCAGTCTACTAGGGCAGCTAACTAATCCCTATTGCAGACTCTCTTGCAGGGACATTTGTATTTGTTCAACACCCACAGAGCCAACCTGTGGTTCATACTGCAACTACGCTGAGAAGACCATAGTTACAGTTTCTGGGTGGGGGTGTGTTATCTAGCATGATCCACAAATTGAACAATACCAACGCACTCAAACCCTCAGTCACAATGACATGTGACTTTGTGCTAGAACAACTATCGACACCCCTTCCACATGTTCTGTCTATCCAATTTCACTCATAAGGCTTGGGTCAACCCATGGTATGGTTTTCAGGCACTTTCCAAAGGTGCCACATGCTGAGATTATCCTCCCCAGACTGATAACATCAGGAAGTCTCCTTCCTGACAAATCAACTGTGGTGAGATTTGAACTTGGGTCGGATCGTCAGAAATTCATACAAACTAATGAATTTAATGGTTTCATATTTTCATTAAGATATGGTTTAAATCTGAAATGCCAGATTGAAACAAGAAGACAAAGACAAAAATGAAAAAAATTTATAAAACTCACTTATAATGCAAAGCTATATTAATTTGATGAGAAATAAAAAAAATATGAAGAAAACTTACCAATATTCATGATGCTGTCTTTTTCTGGATCAAATAATAACCAATCGTAAAATAAACTCAGTTTTGCATTTGAAGCTGCTACATTGGACTGAAATTGGAAAGATTTTAATTCAGCATTTAAAAAAAAAACCCAAAATAATCACTGGCAGTAGTATAACTAAAACCTACAAAATCATATAGTAAGAAGAGATTTTAAAAAAAGCAAGGCTTTCATAGGTACTTACAGTGCATGTAGTCAGCAACCAACCAATTACAGCCCACCTTGGAATGATTTCAGAACAGAGTAGTTCATTGGTTGGATGAAAAACTGCACAAATGTAGCGAATAAGATCACAACGCAGAGACTGGCTTTCAGGAGTTGAGAGATACTGGAATTTTAGAAGAAAATTAAATGTCAAAGGATTTCATTCATATTAACATGAAAGAAATAATTTTATTAGCTTCAATCAAGTCAATAGTCATCAATAATAACAGGAATTTGAAGAATAACATGCAAACAGGAATTATCTTTAAGCAAATCTGATAAAGATAATGAACATTGTGTTCTTACACCATTGACAAAAATCATTTCATTGAAATATTCAAAGGACAAAACAAACGTGAAATACAAGATTAGTGAAACTCTTAATAAAACTGCTATTATATGATGCTACAAAAAAAATATTAAGTCAAAATTCATTCTTCATGATCAATAAAGTTTGCTTTTATAAATTACTTCAGGAATATACTGAGGTGGATCAATAATTCTGTAGCCTAACCTGTAGTTATAAGATGAATCATTTCTTCATTAGTCTGTAGACTGATTGATGTATCTATATAACAGTGCCTTTGTAGTTAGAGGTAATAAAAATGTCTAAAGATTGAATTCCCAGAATAACAATATTTACTATGGAGACACTATAATATTTACAAAAGATTTTACATTGGGCTAATGTATCACTTTCCAATACTGAAGGCAGTTTTTAGCTCTGAAGAAAAAAAAATAGCAAGCACAACCCTCACTCACCTCCAAAAATAAAATATACAGAAAAACAAATAAATAAATAAAATATGCAGAACATCCCCCCACCACACAGAATCCCTGAATTAGTGCAGCTAATGTGTACATTGGTAACGATAAAAAAAAACAAAAAAAAAAAAAACAATTTTCAATTACTATGATTAACCTGAAAAATGTTTTACTGCACTAATCGTGTATTATGTATACAGTAATCGAATTTTGGTATATAAAAATACACAGAACCCCCCTCCCCTCCAAAAAAAACAAGAAACGTAACAAACAAAAACAGCTTTATTTTTTTTTTTTTTCAATTTTTTAAGTCTTGATATCTTCAAATGTTTTGAGTAAGAAAGTTTTGAAATCCCTGACTAGTTTCTAAAATAAAAACAACAGTAATTTAAGGATACTTACCTGCCTTTGGAACCAATCTTGATATCGTTTTTGAGTTCCAAACTTCACCTTGAAAAGAAAAATTTTAAATAAATAAAATGTACACATGGCACAGAGGATAAAGGTGTTCGTTAGATCCAGTGACAGGACCCAAAGAGTGTGAGTTCAATACCTGGTTAAGGCAGTGGAGAACTTTAAGAGGGGAATTAACAGGAGATAACTGATATCCATTAAACATGGCACGCGGGACTAGAACAGTATACCCCAGTGAGCGAAATAAAGGGTTCAGTTCAACTACTTGAAGAAGGCCAAAGCGTAAACGTAATAAATATGGCGACAAAGATGAGGACAATAGTCTGAATAATGTAAATAGTGTCCACTTATAACGTTGAATAGAAGATGGCATTTGGCAAATATGTTAAGAATGGATGCACACTTGTACAAATTCCAAGAAACATTGTACCCTTCAACACAACAATATATACTCATTTTAGCTAATAATATTGGTAGTGAAGATAATATTTAACAAGTCTTTTTTTTTTTTTTTGCTTTGAAAGAAGAGACCAATTGTGGTTTAGACCTAATTACATACTAAAATTAAAATAATGAAGAAATTAAAATACACTTACTTTAGTAGTTAAGAACATGAGTTTATTCTCCATGTCAGGTGTAAGACGACTCATTAACAGTCGCCTTGAGGATCTTGCTTGTAAAAGCTGAACAATACCTGTGAGGGGAAAAAAAATTAATAAATAAAAAAAATAAAATAATAATTATGCTGGACTGTCCTGTTGTTTATTGATGTACGAGGGTCAAGCAACTCAGTTCCTAGGAACCAACAACTAGACACTTGCACATGTGATTTGATTATAAGGTTTTGTGTAGAATTAACCATACTTTTTGAAGAGCTGAATACAGAGATCTGGTGGACTATGTACCACAAGGTCCCAAACGACCATTCGCAGGTTTTGAAATCAGAGTTGTCCTTCTCCTAGACAAGTTGCCATCCAAAGCTATAAAATCCAGTCTGTCCTACTATTTACGCATAGCTGGTAGGAGGAGAAGAGTATTCATACTTTTCCCAAGGGTATTAGCACGTAAGTGAATGTAATGATTCAACTGGAATTCAAACTCACCTCTCAGATTTATCAATCTGAGGTGCTATCCATTACTTCACCATCCTTCTGATATAATTATATATATTTCCAAGTGTAAAGTAGGTTAGTACCATTGTCCAAACATATTTTAAAAATGGCTCAATATAGAGAAGAGCTTAATAATATTTATTAACAATTATAACAAAATATGTTATAAACCACTACATAAATGCAATCATGTTTCAGCACCATATGTGCTTCTTAAGGCAGTGGTGGTCAACTGGATAATAAATGGTCATTTTATGGTTTAAAAGCAGCACTATCCTCAATGGGAAGGGGTTTTTAATAAATTTCTAACATGCTGGGGTTGGGGAACCTCAATTAACCAATCAGACGCTGAGCCTATGATGAGTTCAGAATTAACTTTTGTGTCATATTTCTGTTGGCTGTACAAGTTATTTAGAATCCCACCACAATGTTAACAGGGTGTCAAAGTACATAGTATTCTTTGGTCTTAACTCAAACTAACATAAGAATGTAAACTATCAATAATGGAGCACAGGATAAGTCTACCAATAAATTTGTCTACACCCCATATCTATATCATCAAGCATTAGTTTAAAATACTAAAGCCAGAAAAGGTGGAGAGAGAGGAGAGTGAACTGGTAGTAAAATGGAAGTATAATTATACAATTCCAAACATACACGTATACCCTCCCTCCTTTCATTTCTGTTCAAGTGTGCATGAAACTCAGGTTATCCTTACATAGGATTTAACACTGTGAAGAGTCTTTTGCTCAATTTAGACAAGCTAGACCTCAAGCACTTTATTAAGTAGGTAAGTTTGCCTTTAGACCTTTTTTCTCTTTCTTTTTTTATTCAAGACTGCATCTAGATAAGAGTTTTAGGTTTTGGCAAGTTCTTTATTGGTTCCGTCAACAGTTTTTGTTTTCCTATATATATATATATATATATATAAAACAAATTTTCATAAATACATCAGCATTGTAAATTGGCTACACCATATAATCATTTATTGTGTCTAATGTCACCACAAATGTATCCACACTTTCCCGGTGGTGATTTTTGTTTTTTTTTTTCATTTTAGGTCAACAAATCGGTAGTTGATTTATGCAATTCATATTTATCTGTTTCTCACTCATTTAAACCATTACTTAACTTCTCTCTTAAGTTTTATTCCTCACCCTAGGCCATTTCCTGTTCTTCTTCCGTTACATAGAGCTTTCATACATTTCCCTCTCACCCTTGTTTCTCACGCTACACATACAATTTCACTGAATTTTTTTTTGTTTTTAAACCTGGAGATATATTTTCTGTTTTCTTTTTGAATTTGTAGGTTTGATGAATTGGATTGTGATTGCAATTCTAATGTAATAAATTATAACCATGGAATATTAGTGTTTGAGCCTTTTATTTATATATATATATATATATATATATTTTCACGTTTCCTCCACTATGAGATTATCAAAAGTCGCTGGAAGATACTACATCTCAAACCAAACCTAAAAACTTTGAGGAACTCGGCCTTCTAGCATATCATAGACCTAACTATAAGTAACCAAATTTCAGATAAGGTAACCCGTAATAGACCAAAAACAACAGGATTTTCTCAACCATGCAACAACAAAAGGAGCTTATGTTGTAACCACATTAGACATACCAATTCATTCACTAGCTCAGTCACTAAAGTTTCTTTCAAAATCTACCACAACTCTAACTGTAGAAGTCATAAGATAATTTACCTATTAGAATGCACACTATGCCAGAAACAATATTTAGGGAAAATCTGAATAGCCTTTTTACTACAGAATTAATAATTGTTGGAATTGGATCAAGTCAGCTCCCCATGAAAGATTATTACCTGTAGAACATTTCTGCCTAGAAAAACATGATTTTAAAATCCATGCAAAATTCACTATAATTAAAAATATAGAAATAGACAGAAAAGATGACTTTAGAAAAATACTAGAGGAATATAAAGTCAAATAGATTTTGTACCTCGAAACACTTCATCCAGACGGGCTTAACCACAAATTTAATAACATAGATAGAATTAACATATAACCCCATAAATCAAGCCCTCCCTACATTTCTCACTCACACAAGACAGACATGTTTGCAGAGGTGTTAAGGTCTCACACTTATTCATATCACAAACACACACACTCTCAAAGAACTAAAAGATAACATACACTTAACACACACATCTCATTCCCGTCAAAATGATCGAGGAGGTAATTCTTAGTCAGGAATCTGCCATCCTCTATCTTATGAACACTTCAAGAGGCCATTTGACCACCACAAGACCTGACCAAAATTAACAAAAAAAAAAAAAAAACAAAAACAAATGAAAACTACAGATAAAATTCACTTTCTTCAGAAACAGTCATTCACTCCTGTAGTTCACTGCTACTAACAAGCAGGAATTTTTTTTATCTTGATGATGGCCATACTGGCCGAAACTAGTCGAGGATTCTAACTGAGATAATAAAACAAAAACATTAATATACAACCCATTGTCTGGAAATTTAAATTTTTTAATATATATTTTTTTTATTGTTCAAAATGTACATACACACACATATACATACATATATATATATATATATATATATATATATACATACATACATACACACACACAAAAATGGCTGGTGACTTGTTACTAATTAGTAGAAGGTATTATTTTTTTAAAGTAATTCTGATACTTTATTCAAAATTACAACCATTGTAATTTCATTTTAACTGAAAGAATATAAAAAGAGATTTAAAGCATCTAAGTTAATGTAGACCTATAATGTCTATGTTAAATCAAATATAAAAGTAGCTTACCTGTAAAATTTGGATTTAATGATATTGGATTATATATGATGTCTCGCCACAATTTCTCAAAATCTGGTATTCGAGCCACATTCTGCAATACCCTTGCTAAATCACGGCCAATTATATTAACACAGTCTAAAAACTAAAAAATGAAAAAGGAAAGAGATTAATAATAAAGCTAGCAAAAGTAAATGATTTTAAATTGTTATTTTGAATTAAAGATTAAAAGCAAAAATATTTCAGGTCAAGTTAAAGACATCTTAAAATACTCATCCTTGCAGAAGTTTCAATCTTTATGTTAAGTACACAAATAAGATTTATCTTCTGTGGTTTTGAAAAAGAAAAAAAAATTTGTTATGTTATTGCATTAGTTTCTGCTAATGAGGAGATTAGCTATTATGTTCTTCCAAAAATGTATTCAAAATTCCAAATTTAGATGTATCAAAATGTTTTAAAAATATACATATAACAAACAAAAGTATTAGTAAAACCTGCACTTGTGACTCTACCAACAGAAAAATCTACCAAAAAAAAACCACATAAAATAAGCAAAGGAACCAAAAGAGAGAGAAAGAAAGAAAATAAAAAGACAGATGTAAAAAAAAGAAACCAACCTATGACATTAAAGACAGTGCTTAATGCCCAAATCAAATACAACAGAGCAATTCACTAACCAGCAACACTGCACAAATAAAGTGGGTGGAGATAATAAGAACACCCAATGATCCCGTTTGTGTGAAGCTTAAGTAGTATTTTGAACAGAGTTATTTATTTTTTTGTAAGTCATTTATTTTTATTTATTTATTTATTTTTTTTTAAATAAATATCAAAATCAAAAACAAAGAAATACTTCAGTATCTGTCTATATTTCTGAGATGGGGTATTATGTACACTATTTACATTATTCGGACTATTGTCCTCATCTTTGTCGCCATACTTATTACGTTTCAGCCGTTGTTCACTCCAGCCTTGTTCAAGGACACATGGCAGTGGATAAAGGTGTTGGTTAGATCCAGTGACAGGAACCAAAGAGTGCGAGTTCAATACCCGGTTAAGGCAGTGGAGAACTTAGAGAGGGGAATTAACAGGAGATAGCTGATAACTGACATCCATTAAACATGGCACATGGAACTAGAACAGTCTACCCTCAGCAAGCGAAATAAAGAGTTCAGTTAGACATTCTAACCGGAGCATACAACGTCCGAAACATTGTAATAAATATGGCAACAAAGATGGGGACAATAGTTTGAAAAAAGTAAATAGTGTAAAGAAATATTTATAGCATGACCTTGTTCATACTGAAATATATCAGAGAAATAAAAACAAAATTCAACTAAATATGTGAAACTGCATTTTAAGTTTTCAGATAAACATTAAGCTTTATCATTAGTCATAAATAATAAAATTAAAAACAGAAATGAATTATGACAAAAAAAAAAAAAAAAATTATAAAGAAATTTACAAACCCACTTGCTATCAGCAACAATAACAATAAGACCTGTTGACATATGTAAAATTAAATAATTCTTATCTGGACCCTAAGTACAAATCATCACTAAACTCAGAGTCAATTTTCAATAAGTATCATAAACTTTCAATATTTCTAATATAGTAAAGACAACAATAAACAGAAACAAGCAATTTTACCTTATCACGGAGGAGACTGACACAGAATTCCACCTCACGATTCCTGAGGTTAGTAAAGGCAGGACTACCATGATCAATGATGATTCGTAAATAAGTGTACACTCCAGCTGCCATCAATGTTGGGAATCTTTCCAACCAAATCCTAAAAGGATAAAAGTCATCAAAGTAAACTGCTACAAAACAATTATTCATTCTGAAATAAAATCCTCAGTGAGATTAATTGAAACTGTAGTTAATAAAATGTTAACCATATATAAATTATTCATAATCATAAAAAAAATGAAAAGAGCAGTATTAAATTTCTTTTGTTAATATTAGCCATTTCCTTATATGGAAACATTCAGCATTCACTGACCAAGCAGCTAGTGGTACTTTCAGTTAAAATTTTAAATCTTTCTATTAAAACAATTTTTCAGGATAATAGGTTTCTCTTCATTGTTTCACCCCAAGCAAGGAAATACTGTGACTAGGATGCAAGTGTGGAGAGGGGTTTACTGGATGAGAAGGCTTTTGTGAGGAAAGTACAATAAATTGTTCAGAGAGACAGAAGATGGCAAATGACATTAAATTTAAATGATTTTAAGATTGGCAGGCAAGCAAGAAATTGGAATGGATTTCCACAGGTGAAAAGTGCAAGAAAAGAAACTGTTAGAATAAAATTAATGGTTGCATCTAGCTCGCTTAATAGTAAGACAACAAGACCTAGTTGCCATAAAAATATTTATAAAAAAAAGACAGAGGGAAGCCATGTCATGTCAGTAAGATAGTGACTGAAGTCAAGATGCCAGGTCAGGATGCATTACATTGCGATTGAATTTTGTCAAGAATCTCAGCAGGAACACATATGGCATCAGTATTTGATGCACGGATGAATTGCAGATTTATATGAGAAAAATTTTCATCTTAATACTCATTCAAATATTGATGCAGAGCACTTTGACATGGTGTAATGGTCAGCAAGTTTGTTTCACTAGATCAATTACAATTGAGTATCGAATTTGATTCTCACTGAGTGCTCAACACTTTCGGCCTTGTGCCATATCTATGTTTAGAAAATCATTGTTTTGGGCATCCCAATGGGGTGTAATGGTTAACAAGCTTGTCACGCTAGATCAATTACAACTAAATAATGAGTTCAATCCTCCCAGAGTTCAGCCTTGTGCCACATCTAAGATACACTTAGAAAATCCCCATTCCAGTATGGGGATGGGGGCTTTCTTATTATTTTCATTAAAAAAAAAAAAAAAAAAAAAAAAAACCTGCCATTTCCAAATGTTTTTTTTCTTAAAACAAAAAAATAAATTACAATATTTTCTAAGTGCCTCTTATTATTTCTACCAAATATCATTAAAAATCAGTTCTTCAATTTATAAAAAATTGTACAATTGACTGTGGGTATTAAGAAGTTTGTCTATCTTTAGTAAACACTGCTATACTTTTCTCTTAAAGTGAAAAAAAAAAAAAAAAAAAAAACATATGCAGTGACATGCATAAGTATTGGATACATGTTATTTTCTGTTATAATTCTAGTTTATGTTCGCCATTTTGCCTGATATTTGGTAAGTAATATCTCGTAAAGTTGTTTTAGTTGTATGTGGAAGGAAAATTAAAAACTCATGGTTGAATCCATTTTTTTTATCAAGTTTCAAAATTACCCTATGCAAAAGTATTGGATACATGACACTTTTTTCAAATTTCCAATCAAAACTTTGTATTTTAAAAGACTTTAAATATTCAAATTTTCAATAGTATTGGAATGTTATCTCTGACCAATCAGAGAAACACACGATTTTTTTACAAGATGGTGCTACTAATCATCTGACTCTTTGATGTGCATTCTGCAATTCAAGGATTAAAAATGGTAAAAACTAAAGAATTATCCAGAGATATGCGAGATAGAATCATTGAATATCACAAAGGAGGACAAGGTTACTGAAAAATTAGCAAAGAAATGAATCTGGCACTAAGTACAATAGGAAATATCATCAGAAAGTATAAGAAGTATGGCAACGGTACAGCAAACCTTCCAAGAAATGGAAGACCGAGAAAAATAATTGAGAGTACTTCAAGGTGGTTCAGCAGAAATGGGCAAAAAAAAAAAAAAAAACCTTCATTACTTGTTCTGAAATTAAAACTGATCTTGAGGGTGCTGGAATTAATGTAAGTAAGGATACCATTAGCAGAGCTCTATATCGTACAGGCTTTCATTCAAGATCACCAAGTGCCTTCACTGAAAACCAAACATGTCAAAGGTCGATTAAAGTTTGTCGAAACTTATGAAAAGAAAGGTATGCAGTTTTGGGAAAAGGTAATCTGGTCGGATGAAACGAAAGTTGAACTATTCGGAAGGAACACAGCGACAAGTGTTTGGTGAAAAAATGGCACTGCCTTCAACAAGCACAATACCATCCCCACAGTTAAGTTTGGGGGTGCTTCCATTATGATATGAGGATGCTTTTCATCCAAGGGCACTGGTGAGTTACAAGTTATCCATGGTAGAATGAACAATAGCATGTACAGGGAGATTCTAGAGAAGAACCTTCAGAAATCTGCAACTTCTTTAGGACATGGTCAGAATTTCGTGCTTCAACACGACAATGATCCCAAACATACCGCAAAACTTACAAAGGAATGATTTGAAAATAATGGTATTAGTACTCTCAATTGGCCAAGTCAGTCTCCTGACTTGAATCCAATTGAGAATTTATGGAATACTTTGAAGGTTAAAGTTCATAAGCAGAATCCACAAAATATCAAGCAGTTAGAGGAATTATGCAAGGAAGAATGGGGTAAAGTAACGGTGGATCAGTGTGGAAAACTTGTGGCCAACTATAGAAAGTAACTGGAAGCAGTGAAACAAAACAGAGGCTACACAACAAAATATTAAATTGATGTATCCAATACTTTTTGCAGAGGGTAATTTTTAACTTTGATAAAAAAAAAAAAAATGGATTCAACCTGAGTTTTTAATTTTCCTTCCACATACAACTAAAACAACTTTACGAGATATTACTTACCAAATATCAGGCAAAATGGCGAACATAAACTAGAATTATAACAGAAAATAACATGTATCCAATACTTATGCATGTCACTGTATATATTAAAGTTTTATAAAGCATTATTACATCATTCAAGCTATTTTTTTATGTTAATTGACTCTTCAGATTTCAGTACATATTTTATTTTGCAACATTCAACAATCTCTAGAATTCCTGGTTTCAATTTAGAAATTCAAACTTGCTTTAAAATTTCTGGATTAAGCCATCAAAAATTAGACAAAAACTGGAATCATTATAGTTAAACAAAATGATGAAAGTTGTCATTTATTTTCATAGCAACTTGGAATAGTAGAAAAAAGATATTTTATCTTCAAAACTTCTACAACCTTTCCATTTCCAGGTTTACAATCAAAAAATATTTTACCAATTTTTTTTTTATTTTTTTTTTAAACATACCTATTTTCTGAGAACAAATCCAGCATTTGTTCTGCAAGCCACACATTCTTAGGATTAATATCTCCACCTTGAAAAAAAAAAAATAGATAAATAAATAAAATAACAAACATCACAAAAGTACAAATATTACAATCAGATGCACTATAGTCATAAACATTTTCAGATCTACTCATTTAATTCACCTACGCAGACCTCAATTTGTTTATTATTTGCTTTCCATAAAACTGCTATAAAAATTATCGACAATAATTATTTCTGTATAATGAACACTTTTCCCCCTAGGTTTTTATGCCTAAAATTTAGGGGCATATTACACATACACACACACAAGAATTCTTTTTCTTTATCAGTTGTTTTTGCTTATCATGCAGGTGTGTGATCATCCACATCAGTGCCCCCCCTTCCCAGGTAACTAGCTAGCCATGCATATGCCAGTTCTAACCCCAGATCTCAAAATTATACATTAAATCACACCATCCAGATAGATACACCACCTTATCTAAAAAAGAAGAAAAAGATTACACTTAACACAGTATGACTGAAAGTAAGCTATAATCCAAACAAATATGTAACGAGATTAAACTTATTCTGTGTGTTTACAAAATATTATTCACACCGATATTAAGCATATTTTAATCTGTTTCACTGCTGTCTGTATCAAAGACATCATGACAGTTTCATTGATTTTATCAACATATCTGATGTCTTCGTCAACCTTAATGTCAGCGGGAATCCTCTTGGCCTCTTTCAAAAATGAGCCAATTTAATGTCATCCAAGGCATTTTTGATTCAACATTGATTTAATGATTTGGACATGATGGTTTTAGAGAAACCTGCACTAACCACAGGAAAGTGTGTTTAAGATTTTGTTGCCCTTACTGCGAGTTCATTTTTAATGCAAGCTATTTGCATTTTTTCATGAACACGTATAATATAAACTATAAATTTCACTTTTTCCTCAATACAATCCAGATAAAAACTTGAACAAATGTTAAATTTAATCAAATTTTGCTGCTAAAAAGTCAGTGTGCATTATACACAAGAGATATTGTTTTCCAGAATTTCTTAGCCCAAAGTTAGGGATGAGTATTATACACCAATAATTAAAATTTGTTCTTATTCAAGGGCTCATGATTGTCAACACTGAAAATGGACAAACTAATTCTGGTCATGAGTGCTTACAGTTACTTTGCTCTCAACACTTGCCAAACCAGAATTTCCAATCAGGACTGTTTCAAATTTTTATCCTAAGTTTAGCTTTCTTGTATAATAAAGTGTTTTTATGGTCCAAAACCGCTTCAGCTTCAAGGATGAAAAAGAAAATAAAAAAAATTACAAAGACAAACCAGTCAAACTGGGTCATATGGCAAACTTACTCAACAATACCATCATACTTGACAATAGAAAGTGTATTGAAATCAAAGATTTTTTCTTCCTACTGATACCAAGTAACTGAATACTATGGGAGACTATATTTTGGGGATACTGCAAAAAAAAAAAAAAAAAATTTCAATGGCTTCCAGGTTATGAGACCAATTAATCCAGTTTGAAAATTTTATTTGCAAGAGTTAACACTTGCTGAAAGAAGAAAAAGATTATACTTAACACTTTATATTCAAGAAGCAACAGAAAATATATTTTCTCCTTCTCTCTTCAGAGGAAGGCATTGTAGTACATTGAAAAAGGGGCATCAACCAAAAGAGGGCTGCCAATGATGGTAGTGGTTCAACTGGCAAAAATCAACATCAGGCCGATGTTGGATTTTAGAGAACTCAATAACCATGTGAAGTGCAACACAGGCGATAACACCATTGATATTGACACTGAAACCTTGAGAAAGAGGAAGCAAATGACTGGGACTACCACTCTTGTAGACCTGAAGAGCACATACCTACAATTGTACATTGAGAAAAAGTTGTGGCATTATCAACTGGTCAAGTACAGGGAACATATATACTGTTTAACCCAACTGGGGTTTGGTTTGGTGCCCATGATTATGACGTCTGTACTAATAAAAACTGTTCTAAGTAAATAGACACAGAGCTTACAGCAGCACCAAAGCAAGCTGTTTCCTTTCACTTATTTACCATAGTTGCAGACTTTTTGATTATTCAGCTGAAAAAACATCTTGATGTGCAGTTTTTTCCACAACCCAAACTCCTCAAAATTAATCGATTAAAATCACTTACCAGCAATTTGTCGAATTAATGCAAAACATGTGCCATCTGTACCAGCAACGTTATTTTTGACAAATTCTTTCATTAACCATAAAATCTGAAAAGAAAAAAAAAATTCTTTATTCTGGAAGAATTAAAAAACAAAAAAAATAAACAATTTTTACATTAACATCTATAATGGTCAAGTTTTTTTTCAAAGATGAATGTATAGGGATGATATCAATTAACAAAGGAGTGAAACAGAGTTAAGATGATAACAAGTAAAATTTAGTAATATTTTCAATAAATATAAGAAAGAACTGATTGAAAAATAAAATAAAAAAAAATACAATAAAATTGGAGGGAAAAAAAAAAAAAAAAAAAAAATTAGAAAATGTTATTTTAAAAAAATACTAATTTTAATCATCAGAATGGGGGTGGACAGTTTTTTTCAGCACCCATTTATATACATTGAAATAAAAATAAAATTGAATATAAATTTTACAGAGACAAATTCAGAAAATACAATTTTCTTGATTTTTTTTTTAAATATTAATTTAAATACTCATTTCTTCAAAGTCAAAAATATCATTTCAAACAAATCAGGAATTGAGGTCCACAGATTGAAGTTGACCTCTGACTCGGGAATCTTTGCAACTGACCAAACATTTTTTTTTGATTAGTTTCTATAAGAATTTACCCAAACAAGACATGTCAGTACTACATTATAAATATATAAGAAACAATATTTTATGACTATTAAATTTATTGATCATTTTTCCTAATATGTGAATATTATTTTATTAATTTTATATTATCAAAATTATTCCCATATTAGAAAAATGATCAATAAATTTAATATATATAAAATGTCTATTCTTTTTACTAAGACATTTTTACAAGAATGATTACTGCTAAAATATATTATATAACCCATCCACATTCCCCTGTCACCCACATTTAGCATTGTGCCTTATCAAAGATAAGCTTCATAAATATCAATAATCTGCTTACCTGAATTCTGGCAGTTTCTATGATTTTAAGCCATTTATCATGAATAATCTTAGCCAGAAAATTCTGTACCAATGCCATACCATCTCGACTGACCAATGTCATATCACGGTACATCTGCACAAAAAAAAAAAAAAAAGTATTACTCAAAACAATCAATAAGTTTTCACTTTTTCTATGAAAATAAAAATCTTTAGTGGCATTACTTGCAAATAATTCATAATTGAATTAATGTCATTACAGCTTTGTTGATTTATAAGGCCAAACAAGCAAAATCGTTTTTTTGAATAGCAAAAATTACTGTTTTTTTATTTTTTTTTTTTTCTAAGAGACTAATTCATTTTTTAATAATAAAAATAATAAGTGAAAATTATCATTTCTACTTTTCAGGGTAATTTTCTTTTTAATTTCCTTCCAGTGAACATAAAGACATGGAAATATTTATAAAAACCTGGGAAAAAGTCATATACCCAATTCTGATTTGACTAAAATTGAACAATTACAATTAAACCAAATAGCAGCCTACAAAAGATACTGAAATGAAAAGTAAAAATATATACAAAAATTATACAACAATCTAAATTTCTGTAAGTGTATATTTTGTAACACTAGTAGAACCTTAAGTACCAAGTAATTTATTTGTTATTACAGGTATGTAAATACTTGAGTTTATTATTTTCATAACATTTATATGTAAATTAAGTGATATTGAACTTTTTAACTGGGTATTTTTTTTTAAATATTAGTTGACAATCTCAATGCATGACCAAGTTTCATTATTTCTTCAACTACAATAATAAATTTATTATCAAATTTAACTTAAAATGTTGGTTAATTTTTACTACATCATGGAAAAAAAAAGACCACCCTAATGATAACAAAACGAAAAGACCACCCTAACGATAACAAAAAGATCATCTTAATGATAAAAAAGGGTGTTACCTTACTAATGTGGTCACTTTTTAAGTTAGTAATATGAAGAATGGCTACTAAATATTTGAAAGCGGAAAAAAGAATGCAATATTTTTTTAAAATCTTTAGCATAAATTAACATTTGTATATTTGTAAGTCTACTAATTAAACAGGTGACAACTTTTTATAACCTGATCATGAAATTACTACATTTAGCATGACATAAAAAATAAATAAAAATTAGTTTTCAGTCATAGAATCCGCCAGATACTCAAAGCAACCTAAATGAAAGCAATTAGAAAAAAAAATGCTAGAAATTTAAAATTGAAAAGTTTATTATTGTGTGCTGTTCATAAAGATAATACTAAAAATAAAACATTGACAACAAAGTCGGGGGGGGGGTAAGAAGTAAGGAACTATTAGAATCACATTTATTTTCTGGAAATGGATTTGTGGAAGCTAAAAAAATGTACCCACAAGTTTATATTGTAAGGTTGTGGAATTACTTGACATATTTGATGGCAAAGAACCTACCCTTCCACACCATTGTTCACATTCAATATTAAAGTATTATGAAGTTAAGCTTGGTAAGAGTACATCTAGTCCGTAATGTCCAGGTAAATGTAAGCATACCATGCTGGTTTAGCAGGAATGAACAAGAAGCAGCATCACTGGTACAAGAATAGAACAATATACAGATTCCAAAGCCCTACCAAAATAATGGACAACTGAAGATGGCCAGAGAGCACTTTGCCAAAAGATTGTGTCTATGATATCATCAGTAACAATCAAAAGATAAGACTAAGAGCAAAATTTCAAATAAGTCAAAGATGAGGGCAGTAATTCAGATAAATCAAAGTATATTGATAATTCATCATTCCACAGAATCAAAACAAAAATTATCCAAAAGTGGCATGAAATGTGATAAAGTGGACATGAGTGTTGGTTATTCAAGTGTTGCTCTCATCTCAAGGTTGTGAGTTCAATCTCTGAATCAGGTAATGAAATAATATACTCTGCTTTAAGAGAAACAAACAACAATCAGCATCATAGAGACAAAAATAACAGAATAATCAACATATAAGACATCTAATATCAGCTAAAAATAATAAACCCCTAATGATAGCCAGAGAGTACTTAGCCCAAAACATTGTGTCTATAATATTACCAATCAAAAGATGAGAACAGTTAAAATAAATAAAATGAGAAGTACATTAGCATACCAGATATCTCAACTTTGAATTTAAGAGAGATTTTTTTTAGTCATTTTTGTGAGGGGGGGGGTATAATACCCTAAAATATGGTAACTGCCTAAGTAATGCTGAAAAAGTTTAAGCAATGAAGTTTAGACATTTACCTAATTCTCTGACTGACAAATCATCTGATGCAGATAATAAGCTTTTTTTCTATAGTCTTCACATATTTCGAACGGAGTACCAAAGTTGCACTTAAGCAGAAATAACCGATTACAGTCTGTGAAAGAATGGTATCCATATCCTTCATGTTACAAAGGATTCCACAGAAAATTTTCCGACAAGTTTATTAATTTTTAGTAGATCAACACCATAAACCTTGCTAGCAGTCATGGACAATTCCATCAAACAATTTTGCTCATCTTATCATCTATGTGCATTAAGCAAGAATGCAGACAACCAGTTTTCTAGATCTTTAAATGGATTATTTCTGAAAGCCATGAATTCCTACCTTACTGGCTGTTTTAGGATCTGTAAGTATTGAATAAAGCTGCCCCAGCTGAATTTCTTCATGATAATTTGGTCCTTTACCCACCTGTCAGAAAAAAATAAAATAAAATAATCATAGACACAAAGTAATGGTTGATGACAATTCGTAATCAATTATAGGAATGCATTTATAATTGTAAATTTGGAAAAAAGAAAACAAAATCAGTTTCATTGCATTAGAAATACAGCCTTCTGGGAAGCATTTAAAACCTTTTCAATATCTTAGTATTACTTAATCTTTTGCACTACAGAAAAAAAGGCTCAAGTTCCGGGCAGATCTAATGGCATTGAACTGTAATTCCAATGTGTATATCAGCATTTTACAATCTGAAAATGCAAACATATTTGTTATGTGTGTTCTTTAGTGCATATACATCTTGTATTATTAATGATTCAAGAAAACAACAAAACTCCAAATATGAATCAACAAGTATATATTGAAATAACATACAAGAACAAAATATACAATAATTTGTATTCAATGTATAGATTAAGGGAAAAGAAGTTTCTTCCCTTTTACTGTATTCTGCTTTGTAATTGATTGTTCGAAAGAAAGTTCTCTTGAGAAAGAAATATTCAGAAATCAATGTTAGAACAAGTCGGCTGTTAGAATAGATAACACAAGAATACAATTGATCAGAAAGTGTATTGTGTTAGAGAAATCAACAGAGTCCTGGTTGATTGAACTTGGCTGAGTCACAGAGAGATATGTATATATGCATTACAAAATTCTGTGTGTGTGTGCATTTGAAATGTTGTGAGCAAAGTCATAGATTTGTGTTGACAGGCGAAATTTACTGGACTCTACTGGCGACTTGTGAAAAAGTCGCCTCTTTTAAAGCTACTGATAGGCTTCCAGCGAAACCGCAGAAAAAGTTGATTTTGCACTAAAATATGTGATTGGTTAAAAATTGATCAATCGCTAAATTTGTACTAATGAAACAAGTAAGCAAGTTCAAAACTGAAAAATTCAAAGCAACGACTGTGATGGCTAAATTGTCCTATAGAAAGGCAGTATTGATTTATTAGCCAATCGCAGACGAATAAAATATGGGAGTGGAAAAACATAGCAGTCGCTACATATTAATACTCAAATGGTAAAAATAGGTTAGTTGTAGGAAAATTAATATAGGTTGATCCTCAAATGTTTACTGTAGTTGTATGAAGAAAACAACATTAATCTGAAATTGAGCCTTGGCTAGTAAAAGTTGATTTTAACTTCAAGATATAGAATAAACAATGAAAACTGAATTTGCTCTCTTCTTCAGAACATGCAGCAGTTAATTAAAGAGAGACAAAGACATTTATACTAAAAAGTAACCAACATAGAATCAACAGAACATGAATCACATGAGACAATAAAACTTGCAAAACATTACAAGTTTGTCCTGGTCAACTACAGGTAAGTCCTTGTTAATTACCTTAGTTTAGACATTCCATTTCTCCTAGGTGAATTATGATTACATGGTGCTTGAGCAAAAAGTGTCTAGACCCATTTTAACCATCAAGATACTTCAGGGAATAAAGTAAAAATATAAAAAGCAATTGAGCCATTATTTTTTGTATATAAATTTGTCATGCTAGTGTTTGTAATAAAGATCAATTAAAAATACTAGTTCTAAGATTATGATCCCCACCAAGGAAATTGTTTCAACCACTGTCTGTAGATGACGAACAAATTAACACCCAGTTCAGACTAGCATGAAATAAGGCTGGGAGTGGGGGCAAAATATAAGACATTATGAGGTTTAGTACCATGGTGAGGTCTTAAAATTTTGCAAGTATTTTGGTACAAATACCAATATTTTTTATGCTTTTTAATTTTTGTTCTTTGTCAATCAAATTAAAGGAAATAAATTCAATGTAAATAATCAAATGAAAAAAAAAAATGGTAAAGTTTTTCCCTGTGGAAAGGTAGATTTGAAGCTAGGTGAAAGGAAAGATAATACAATAATAAGCATAAAAAAGGAACTGCCACTCCAGCATCACACCAGATACTTTTGAATTGATATCCCTGATCAATAATTTGATCAAAGTAATAAAATTTAATTGGTTAACAGGAAATTGGTACATGGTTACTTAGTAAAAATAGATGAAACACCATTTGATACCACCATTTTAGTAACCAGGTATTATTGAAATTTCAGAACCAAAGTGACATCACCCGCCAGCCATACATCTAGTACCTTACTTGGTACCCCCATAAGTATAAGCTTATCTGCTTAAAAAGCACACCAGCAACATGAATCATTTCTTAACACAGTCATACTGAACATGAGAATCTAATCAAGTAAAAATATGGGTGGTATTCCACTAAAGTCCAAAATATTTGAGTACAGCTGCACAAAAATAACAAATTTCCAGACACATTAGGTACCATTATAAAATTTCTTCCTTAGTAATGGTATTCATTATGTCTTTGATTTTGGTACCAAACTCACCCTGAAAGAAAATAATTAGTGGTAAGTTATAAGCTTTGAAAACCAACCCATCTGCTAAAAATTGCACTTGACTATTTTCTTTCCTCAATAGTAGTAAAGTTTGCTTATTGTCCAGGTCACACTCCTCCCTGGTCTTTTGAACCCAAGTAGAGCTTTATCCCTTGTTTCCTGTTTAGGATTAGGTTTCTGGTTCCTTCTAAAACCTTTTCATTCTCTTTCACTCCCAGTAACCCCTTGCATTTTAGTAGCATTATCACCTTGCTTGGGGTGAACTGACTAAAAAAAAAAAAAAAAAAAAAAGTCACAATATTAAAATTGGTATGAATAGTTATATAAGTAAGAAAGAAATAAAGGGCCAAAATAAATGAATGAGACTTACATGAGCATTGAGCACATCATTGCATTCCCTTTCACTGAGGTTAGCTGTAATGTTGATTAAAATGCCATGGAACCGTTCACATTTCTGAAATGACAAAACAGCATTTAAAAAAATTATTTTATTTTCACTTCAAAAAATAGGAAAATTAATTACAAAGTAAAAAGATTTTGTGTGAGGCATTTGGTCTTTTAGGACATCATTTGACTAAAGTAATTTTTACACTGATGTAACTACACATGCACGAAGAAGAGGGGACTTCAAAGAAAAAAAAAAAAAGAGAGAGAAAACGTAACCCTCCTTCAAAAAAATAACTTTCACTACTTTTGTTAGAAAACATTAGAACTGAAGCTAACAAGATACCCAAAATTATGGCAAAGCAATTTGTTTGTTGACTGCACAATATAGTAAGGTCTGTTGAGCACCATCTGTGAGAAAAAGAGCACCATGATGCAATTCACTCTGGCAAAAATTTGGAAATGCCATGCTGTATAAAATTTTCATAGGAGCATTCATACCGGAAGCTCCAATACAAACATTGGAGAATGTTTGGGTGTCAATCTTAGGACAGTGCAGAGGATTCAGAAAGAGTTGGAGGAGTCTAATGTTGATTAAGAAGGTATGGCAACTTGGAAAACTCACTCTAATTGTTCCAATAAGAAAAGAACTCCCGAATTTGTTGTTGAGGGTCTTAGACTCAACACACGAGGCATACATCAAGTGCCTTGAGGAGGTAGTGCTACTCTGGGTCAAGAGGGTGGCTGCTGGAAGAGACTATGCCTGGCAACAGGAATCAGTACCATACAACATGAGCAGGCAAACCCAGTCATGGCTGTTTGACAATTTCTGCGGCCACATCACCCCTTACATCTGGCCAGCTAACTCCCCCTTGATTATTATGTGTGGGGCGAAGTTGAGCAAGAGATCAATAAAAATCCTTTAACACCAACGATGAACTGAAGGCAAGGATTATGACAGTATTCACCAACTTAAACAAGGAGACTGTCTAGAAGAGCTGCAGGAGATTCCAAAATCATCTGGAGGCCATGCTTATAATCAATGTCGATTCACTCTTTAGCATTTTAAAACGTTTTTGTGTAATTTTGGTAAATATATCTGTTAAAATGAGATGTCAGATTTATTCAAATTTTTGCATAATTTATCCATCGCACTATATATATATATATATATATATATATATATATTACATGCAGTGACAGCAGTAGGTATAAAGTTTTCATAGGAGCAATTTTAGTGATCTGGCTCAAATTTAGTTACAATAATGTGAAATATGGTATTAAATCTGCAAGGGAGATGGACAAAAAGCTATTAGAAATACCAGTCATAGTATAAGAAGGCAAATTGTCATGAACTATGACAGTTGTGCAGTAAATGATAAGATTAAAAGAATTATGAAAAGTATTGCAATAAATTGAACTGTCAGAACTCATGACTTAACAAGATTTCAACTAGTTTAAGTGATTTGGATCAAGTCAAATGAGGTTAGGAAGATTGCATTTAACCATTAAACAGACCGATGCCACTCAATGTTGACCCCAGTGGCCACTTTTATATTACATATACACTATTCCTGATAGCATACTGTAAAACATTATATATATATATATATATATATATATATATATATATATATGTGTGTGTGTGTGTGTGTGTGTGTGTGTGTGTGTGTGTGTATGTATGTGTATGTGGACACACGAAATCAACACTGAGTGGTGACAGTCTGTTACATGCTTAAATGCACTTCTCATATCAGAGACTGCTGAGCCTTACAAAGGTCCTACTCAGCAAACTCTTAAATGTATGTAACAGAAAAAAAAAAAAAAAAAAACCACCCCACTTAGATTAAAACACTCACTAGTTCTATGAAACTCACATTTATTTTAACCTACCCTGATAATGACTTAAGGTCAAAAGCTTGAACCATGTATTTTGTACTTTTCATCCAAAAGGAAATTTCTAGCAAAATTCCTTATCGGGCAGCATTTAAGCTAGCTGCAGTTTTGGATACAAAAAGAAAACAAGAGTTACTCCCCTTGAACCATGAAAGCAACAATAATGGCTAGTATAATGTATAAATATATATTTTTAACTGCGTATAATCTGGCAACCCTGAAATCTGAGCTCAACGAAAATTCTTCCCTGCACCTAACTTTTCTAGGGTTTTTGAATGAGCTATGAATCAATGAATTCAGACTAGTGGGAATGAAGGAGTTGCTTGAACACACACATGCACAAACACTGTACTATATATATATATATATATATATATATATATATATATATATATATATATTAGGAACATATAAATCCACTTTCAGTTTCACACCTTTAGCAATCTTCAGATGGTCTAAAGATTACTTAAAGAATGAACTAACTCACCATGCAGCATTGATATTGATTCCTATATCCACACTGTTTATACCTCTAGATCAGTGGTTCTCAACCGGGGTCTACATGGACCCTAGGGGTCCATGTAATATTTCCGGGGGTCCACAGGCAAAACACAATTGTTGTGTTAATTAAAAATAGTAATAATAATTATTATTATAGTAGAATATTTTATTTGTATTAAATTAGTTTTCATTTAAAAATAAAGCTTAATCGTATACTATTTCTTTGATAATTAAAACCTTAAAATTTATATTAGTGAAGAATAGAAAATTGTTCTTATGTCCAATAGCTATGAAGGGGTCCACCAAGATAAAAAGAAGGGGAAAGGGGTCCATGGGTAAAAAAAAGGTTGAGAACCACTGCTCTAGATAGTATCTTCAATACTGATCACTCTTCCTTTGGAAATATAGTATATGTATAGGATATAGAGACTGTGAATATAGGACTCAGTGTTGGAAGGCAACTTAGTTCATGCTTCAAATAATAATTATATATAATTTATGTGATTATATATATATATATATATATATATATATATATACAAGAAAAATATACGGAAAAACAAAAATCTGAATATGCAATTATGCTGTTTTAATGTTAATTTAATGTCAACGTAATTGCATATTCAGATTTTTGTTTTTTTCCGTATATTTTTCTTCATACTGTCGGATCCATATATTTGCTTACATATACACACACATATATATATATATATATATATATATATTAGTTGAATCTATTGCATTCACTTATGTGCTAATAACCTTGGGAAAGGTATTAATCCTCCTTTTCTCCATCCAGCTATGAGTAAATAGCAGGACAGACTGGGTTCTATAGCCTTGGATAGCAACTGGTCTAGAAGAAGGACAACTCTGAATTCAAAACCTGCAGAGAATCATTTGGAGACCTTGTGGCATGTAGTGTCCAGGCCTCTGTATTCAGCCCTTCAAAAAGTGTGGTTGGTCCTACACAAAGCATTCACCACTATAATCAAATCATATGCGCTAATGTTTGGGCTGTCAGTTCCTTGACCCTCATATGTCGAATACGACTGGAGAGTCCACCAGATATCCGCACATTTATTATAAATTATATATATATATATATATATATATATATATATATATAAAAACATTCACACCTTAAACCATGGACTGATGATAGCTTAAGGCCTGAAAATGCCAGTCACCAAAGTGTTGGTATCTGTCCACAATGAATATATCTACAAATGTTTCATTCCCAAATAAATTTTAAACAATGTGCATGTACATGTTTGAAAATACACAAAGTAATTATTATGAGGAATGTGTCTTCCTGAATTTTATGACATATTTATCAAAATGTAGTCTTTAGTAAGGTTTTTTTTTTTTTTTTTATTTACATTTTTACTTCCGGATGTGGGCAATAAATGCTCTCCACAATTTCCTATTCTTTGCCATTCTTAGTAAGGCTTTTTACCATCCCTCCCATTCCCCAGCTCATCAGATAGGGAGGCAGCAGGCAACCTCCCTCTGGCTCTTTTTAACTTCGATATGTCCTGTGAGTGGCAAATTTTCCAACCTCTCCTTCCTCATATGCTCCAAAAATATTACCTGTTTCTAATTCTATGTGTTCTATTTGTTTTCATTTTACTACGATTACTTATTGATAAACATTTTCAAAGGCTTTAAAAAAATATAAACTAGTTTCTGCTTTATAAGCACAATCTAAATAGATTTCATAAATACATAACATTAATTTCTATAACAAACAGGACACTGTAAGTAAATCCACAATATTTACATTGTACAGTATTCATCATAGATTAATCAATGAAGAACAAAATAACAAAATGGAAACAATTGAAGCAGCAGCAATACTGGTGATTTATCAATAAATCCTAGAAAGAAATGTCATACTTCAAAAATAATGAGTTATTAAATCGACTTATATTTGGAGAGTGAAATAATAAAAGCAGAAAACCCTGTTTAAAACATGTTAATCATGACTCACTGATTTATGCCTGATTAAATGAGAAAAAAAATATCAATGAATAATTGTTTGAATTGCTGCAGATCAGTTTGCTGATGTTGAACATAGAAACAGCAAGAGTGCCATGTTCAGACATGTGTAACAATACAGAGAGTGGGGATGAAAATACTGAATTCTCTTCATCTTCACAAAGCCAAATAATTATCAAATGTTTTACAATTCATATTAGGATTAAATAAGGAACAAATAGGAAAACACTTATAAAGTTAACAGGTTTCAGTTTTGTTTTAGCTTCTTCAGAATTTGAGGGATAAATCAATGTAAGCAAGTAAATCCTAAAAAAAAAAAAAAAAAAAAAAAAAAATAAAATAAATAAATACCCATTATTTGTAAATTATCTCTTATGACTACTTAACAATACAGAGTTTCATGCAAGAACATTGAAGTAGAAACTGACACCTTTTCATTATCTGAACTTTCATTTTTATAAACATTTACAAAGTGGAGAGTATCAATTAGATCTTATTTACATTATTTATATTAATCGGACTGTTATCCTCACCTTCATTGCCATATTCAGAACGCTCCGGCCTTCAGGTGATTGGAATTTCAAACCAAACCTCTTATTTCATCCATCGGGGTAGATTGTTCTAGTTCCATGTCTCTTCCTGATGTCTCAGTTATTTCCCTTTAACTCAACTCTG